GATGTTTGAGTGGAGCTCTGACCCGTGGGGATGAGGCTGATGGCGCCTCCATGGGCCAGCCCTTAGGGTGTGACAGGAAGCACTGCTGGACTCTGAGGTCCTCCCCCCCGACTGGCTTGGTGACAGTGTTGCCAGTGGAATCCCCGGGTCAGATGTCCCTGGAGTAAGCCCACCCACCACTCTGCCAGGTGGCCCATACGGGAGCTGTCAGCCCCACTCATCAGACAAGGAAACTGAGGCCCAGAGTGGGCCGCAGGTCTGGGAGGAGGGGCCTGAGTCGGGTCTGCACCCTGTGCCGCCTGCTTTCTGACCACAGCGCCATCCTGCCCACCGAGGTCCTGCAGGTGGAGCAGCACTCTGGAGGAGGAGCCGTGGGCCAGCAGGACGGAGTGTCCTGTGCTGGGCTGGGGCTCAGGTGGCGGGCAGTGAGCCCCAGGGGCAGGCTGCTCTGTGGGTACTGGGGGGCCCCGGCCACACTCGGGGGCTTTTCTCAAGCAGTTGAAGGGAAACACACCCGTGTTTGTGGTGAACTCGAGTGTGAATCCTGCACCCTGCCTCTGGCTGCTGTGGGAGGTGGGAGAACAGCTGGGGTGTGCAGCTGCCCCACCAAACCAGCCCCATCTTGCCTCAGGCCACTGCCACCGGTCGTCGGCTGGGCCTGGCATCTCCCTGCAGCCACCACGCAGTCCTCCGGRCAGGACAGAGCTCAGCACCGAGTGAGCCAGGGAGACGAGGGCATGCTCCCTGGGGACCGTCAGCAGGCCTGGCAGAGGAAGGCCCCGTGGGTCCCTTCTGGACGAGGACAGAGCGTCCCACTGTAGAAGACCCAGCCATGTCCCCTGCTTGGGCTCTGCCCCCCAGAGGCTCTCTTCCTACACTTCCCTCAGTTCCCTGACCCCTTGGACRGGGAGGGAGTGGCATGTCCTCCACGGTGGGTGGCCCTGGGATTCCCCGGGCATCTGGACCCCAAGCACACTGTCTTTGGGGAGACCAGACGACTCTTAGGTACTGGCACCTCTCCACTGTTCAGTAAGCAGCCTGGCACACCGACCAGTGCCATCTGGTGGCTTGTCTCACCCAGCAGAGGTCCTGAGGCAGGGCAGGGCGYGAGCTGCAGCCTCACCAGACACCAGTCCCTTGAAAGACTCTTGTCGAAAGTCCCACCACACAGGTCCGCCCCGCACGTTCTGAGCTCCGGGGATGCTGTCACTGCAAAGCAGAGGTGTGGCCTCACCAGGGACCGAGCCTGTTTTCCATCTGTTCATCCACCCACCTCTTGGGCTCTAGGGATTGGGTGGACCCAGGCCCATGAGTAAGGATGGACACCTTACGGTGACACTGGTGGCAGAGTGGTGCCATTGATGTGAGATTCCAGAGCAGGGGAGAGGTTCTAGATGGTTCCTCCAGAAAGGACAAGGGCTTTCAGTTTCTGGGTGGAGACTGTAGGTGCTGGGAAGGGGCAGTGTGGCCCTGAGCGAAGCCCGCCAGGGGTGCGGGACAGGTGAGGGGCCTTACCCCGACAGCAGGGCCGGGGAAGCAGCCTGGCCTCTGTCCACAGTGAAAGCAGCCTGGCTGGGCCGGGGAGGGAGGCCAGCGAGGGGCGGGCAAGTCTGCTGAGGGTGGGCCGAGAGTGGCCTGCTGGGCTGGTGACCAGCATGAGAGCTGTGGGAGACAGGTGGCTGGACATCAGGGAGGCCAGCTCAAGGGTGCCCRGCCCAGCTGGACGCAGCTTCACAGAGCCTCTCCCTGACGGCAGGCCAGGAGGTGTGGTCAGATGSGAGAGATGCTGCTGAGCATGCTGGGAAGGGACTCAGAGAGGCCTCTGTGGATCTGCACTGGGACCCCCCGAAGGGCCGACCCCTAGGGCGGGAGCAACACAGATGTACTTCTCTCATTCCTGGAGCCAGAGGCAGGCCACGCTGCCTCCCAAGGCTCTGGGGAGGACTGTCCCTGTCTGCCCAGTTGCTGGGGGAGGCTGGCCTTTTGTGGCTCCTGGGCTCCCAGCCACATCACTGCGGCCTCTTCCCCATGATCACATGCCGTTCACACCGCTCATGTGCTAGGATGGTTGTCATTGGATTTAGGGCCCATCTGGCTCAGGCAGAGTGACACCTCACTTAACTACATCTGGAGGCCATGGGGTCAGAAGGTGGACATATCTGCAGTGGGGCCACCATTCAGTCCAGGTGCCACCAGGACCTGAGCAGGGCCCTGCCCTCTGGGCCACTCCCTCCCTCTTTCCAGGACTGAGTTTCCAGGATGCTGAGTCTTGCCTCACTGGGCAGCAGGCAGAGTGAGGCTAGAGACAGGAGGGGGCTGGCCAGCAAGAGCCTGGGCGCTGGTTGCCCAGGGYGGGCCCAGGCCCTCTGGGAGGGGTTGACTTTCCCCAGGGGGGTCTCCCACCCTCCCTGTGCCTGGAAGGCCCTTTGGCATGCTCACATCTGTAGGCAGCCAGCAGGTACCAGGCTGGCAGGGGCCCCGGGTGCCAGGAAGTGGGTCCCAGTTCCTTGCCACGGGTCCCTGACTGGGGGCCAAGCAAGCGCCTTCCTCTCTGAGCCTCAGTGTCCTCCGCGGGTGAGTGCAGACGGTGACAGGGCCAGCCTYGGGCTGTGGGTGCTGAGATGAGACGGGGCTGTGAGGCGTGAGGTGCCAGGGCAGGGCGGGCTGTGCCTGCAGCAGACACCACCGCACTGGGTGTTGGCCTCACTCCCGGCAGGCGGAGGTCCTCAGAACCCAGCGTGAGCGTGCCCTCTTCTTTTGCAGGCCGACTCTGAGCCCCTGCCCTGCCCYGCTGTCAGCTCCTACCACCTGGTAAGTGTGCTGTGCCCGGGGGGCGGGAGGCGGTCTCTGAGCCTGGCAGCTTGGGACATCAGCCAAGGGTGGGAGGATGGAGTGTGGCACCAATCCTTGCCACCCAGCCACACACGTCTCTGCTGGTGTGGGTCATCTCCATGGTCCCCAGCCCAGGGCGAAGGTCATGGAGTCACCATCTGGGTTCTGAATGTCCTCTGGCTTCAAGAGTGGGAATGACATTATTGTTTGCTGCAGGGATTAAATGAATTCTGCCTTGGGAGGAGATGGGAGGGCTCTTGGAGAAACTGAGGCCCACAGCTGAGGGGCTTGCAGAGGCCACTTAGCAGCTTGGGACTCCTCACCCAGCCTCCCTCTGGAAGGAAGGACTTGGGGAGGGGGTCCAACATGGGCCTGCCCTGCATGGGGGTCCCTCATGCAGCCTAATTCTCTCCTCCCGGCTGTAGCCCCAGCCTCACAATGCTGCACCCAGGGTGGGGGCCTGGGGGGGTCRGGTGAGGGTGGGCCTCTGCTCACTTCCACCTCCTGGTGTTTATAAAGTGAGGCCTGGGGAGAGGGGGTCTGGCTCCTGCCTCTGCACAGGCCTTGTTCATCCTTCTGTGATCTGGAGAGTGGCACGTCCTGGAGAGGGCTGGCTGGCTCCTGGCTCATCTCCTGGGGGCTCTCATCCCAGATGGTCACGCGGCCTCCCCTGCCTCCTTGCCTCCTGGCCTGTGAGCTTCTCCCAGCTCTGCGAGGGGGCACACTCCTTGGTGCCCCCTCTCCTGGGAACTGCCTCCCTGGCTGGTCCTGGCTGTTGTGTGGCCCAGGAGCCCTTACTTGCCATTCTAACTCCACCCTGCTGCAGAGGGAAGTACTCGGGAAGGGGTCCTCCCTGCTGACCCTCCTGTGCCCACCCCCTGCCATCTGTCTATCTGTCATGCCCAACTTTCTACTAAAGGTGTAGGCTGCCCTTGGCCACCCAAGGCATGAAAGCTGGCACAGGCTGGAGAAGCCTGAAGCACTGTGCCCCCTTAAGGAGGCCCTGGGCATCAGATTCAAGCTTCCACCCTCCAGGAGACAGCAGGTGGTCTTGGCCATGTGGGGCCTTGGCAGCCTGGCTGGTGGACATAGCCTGGGGGACAGAAGCTGCCTCCTTCTGCTTCCAAGCTGCCCTTTCTGGGTACCCGATGGCAGGTGGAGTTGGTGTGGGATCATGCCCTAGGACCCCGGGAGGCACGAACAAGACCCTCAGCTCCCAAAGGCCCTGTGGTCTGTGGCTTCTGTCACCCTCAAATCCTGCCATGAGCGTGGCCCTCGGCCCCAGGACGTCTTTTCTCAGCTGCCTCCTCCTAAGAGTCCTGTCCTATCTGGGACCGGAGCTCGGTGGAGAGGGGCAGGGACTGGGCACCCTGTGGCTTGAGTTGGAACCCCGTTGGGGCTGCCCAGCAGGGGCCGAAGCAGGAAGAAGGCTGGGCTTGACGGAAGCAGAACAGCTGGGGGGGGCTGAGTTCTGAGTGGGCCTAGGGAGGGGCCGATGGCAGGGTGTGCTTTGTCACCGAGGCCTTTCTCTCAAGCTGGGTGATTAGCAGAGCTCGAGGCTCTGAAGGCAGAGAGACTGAGAGACCCAGACCCACCCTGGTCTTTCACCATGGCTCCCCACCCTGGTCTCTCCGTTGCTTGGTGTCAGAACACACAGAGGGAGCCACTTTGAAACCTACAGGACCCTGGTGCAAGAGGCGCAGCCCTTTAGGCTCCAGAGGACAGGAGTGGGCACCATGTGGGCCGGGGAGGGGTGTGGGGTATCAGCACTATCATTGTGTGGGGCCAGTACCCTGGGCTGTGAGGGGCTGTGTGGTTTGCTGGCGTGAAGCTAAGTGTGCAGAGGTGACCTGGGGAGGGAGGGACAGCATGAAGTTTCCTCCCAGGGGCACAGCTGCCCTGGAGCCCAGATAGCTGTGCCTCTGACCACAGTGGGGAACAGGAGGATGGTGAGTGGGGAYTAGACCCCCCAGACAGAACAGCACTGGTAGGCTGCAGCTTTCAGGGCCTTGCAGGGGGAAGGCAGGAAGTGCTTGTTCCTTGGGGCAACCCAGGGAACCAGCAACAGGAAGTCCCAGACCAGGAGGAAGCCCTACCAGCTACAGGTCTCAGAGGCGCAGAGCTGAGCTGTGGCACAACAAGCCGGGCAGCCGGGGCCTTGGCCTCACATGCCTGGGAGATGCAGGGTGCGGCCTCTCCCCACAGCCCCTGAGCTGCATGGCTTCCCTGGGCCCCAGGACACCAACCTCCAGCAAGTTACTGGGCAGCAGGAGAGCCATGTGCTGGGTCAGTGCCATCAGGTCAGTGGGGTGGCTGTGGCAGAACCGCAGGGCTGGGCGGGGTCATGGGAGCCAAGTTCCCCCCAGGGCTGGCCTGCAGGCGCTGAGAAGAGTGGTCCCAGATGGGCCCAGAGGGAGCCAGAAGGGGGACCCCATGCAGGAACCTGGGGCGCCCCTGCCCTGCGTCCTGCCTCTCGGCCTGCAGCCCTGGGAGCTGCGCCTCTCCCACTCCAGCCTTGCCTGGCGGCCTTGGTGTCGGGGTCCCTGTGTGTGTGTGTACACGTACGTGTGCAGGGGGACAGGCAGGGCAGTGTGGGTCCCCACTGCCTGTGTGGGACGCTGTGCTCAGGGGACCTTGGGCTCCAGGGACCCGCTGGGGACGGGATCCGTTCTCCGCCCCTTGGCCAGTTGTGGGCTCTGGCATGGCTGGTCACTGGGCCTTTCTAGGAGCATTTTGGTTTTGATTCTTTTACAGAGAAAGATTCTGGGAAGAGGAAGGAGGGGGAAGGAAACTAAAAGCAGAGTACGAAGTGGTGAGAGGCAGGGTGGCTAGGGGACTGTGCTCGAGGAACCCACCAGCTCTGCCCACCCGGCCATCACCCCAACACCTGCTGTGCCACGCGGGCAGGGTGGAGGGTCATGGGTGCTCCGCCACTAGTGCATGTGTGTTCTGGGGAAGTGCTCCGCTTCTTGGACCCTCGGTGTCTTCATCAGTGACATGGGATGACTGTGGTTTAAGCTCTGGAGTGGCGGGGTGAGCAGTGCTCTTGCACAAGTCCTGAGCCTCTCCCAGCCTGTGTCCTTGGGGAGTAAGTGTGCAAGAATGCGTGGGTCACACACAGAATTGTGAGGTTCCTGAACCCACAGGTGGGACCTGGCACCAGGCTGGGCAGGGCTGGAGTGGTGATTCTGGCCTGTGCCCGAGCGCTCTGGGGACCACTTATAAAGGGTCTTTTTGGCCCCTGGTGTGTTGTGTGGATGGTGCTCACATGAGTGCAAGCACGTGTGTGAGCATGTGAATGAGTGTGAGTGTGAGTGTAAGTGTGCATTCGTGTTTGTAAGTGTGAAAGTGTATATGTGGAGTGTGAATGTGCTTGAGTATGTGGACAGGACTGGATGCGTGTGTACATGCGTGCATGAGTGTGTGTGTGTGTGCTGTGCACTGGGGGACCTCGTCTCTGCTCCCTCAGGCTGGGACACTGGCCCTGCCTCGCTCTGCGGCTTCACAGCAGGGCCGGCCTAGTCTCTGTGAGCAGTGAGTCCCTGACACCGTGGTCACCCAGGGCGCTGCTCACTCACCACAACAGGCCATGTCTGCAGGAGCCYGGTGCCTCAGGGCTGCCACGTCACTCTCATGCACAGGCTCACAATGTGCACACATATGTCACACGCACACACACTGGTGTGCACACGTGTAGTCTCCCACTCACTCTCATGTCTTCTGTGAGTGCACCTGTGACATTAACTGGGCTTGAGGAGCTGCACCTTGTGTGTGGGCCCCTGCAGGTGAGGAGCATGCACCCTTGGGGCTCAGGGCCCCAGAGKTGGGAGCCGCAGAGCTGAGTTGTCTCACCAGCCTGCGCAGCCCGTCCCCACTCCAGCAGCTTCAGGGTCCTTGAGCCAGTACCGCTGAGGGAAGGTGCATCTCACAGGGCCACACGGGCTCAAAGCACTTCCACACCTGCACACGCGAGGATCCTGCACCTTGTAGAAGGGTTCCTGGAACCTAGCAGCCACCACCAGCTTCAGCCACTCCAGGCTGACCTGTCTCCAGAGTCCTCAGCCCCTGCTCAGGGTGTTGGGCCTTGGAGGAGTGAACTCTTCCATGCCCYCCTTTTTTTTAAATGTTATTTTTGTAGTGGTAGATGGACAGGATGCCTTTATTTTATTTGTTTATTTATTTATAAGTGGTGCTGAGGTTCGAAGCCAGCACCCCACACATGCTAGGCAAGTGCTCTACCCCTGAGCCCATGCCCTTTTTTAACAGCAGGAGATGGTGGCCCTGTGGAGGATGAGACCCAGAGAGATCTGAAGGCAGGCTCTCTCCCTCGTGACTCCCACCCACGGTGCTCCAGCCAGTGCTCCCACCAGCCCAGGGGCATCCCTGAGGGTGGGCATCTGAGGAGGGACGAAACTACCTAGCAGGTCGGCAGGAAGGCCTGTGGGAGCCCCTGGTGAGTGAGTGGCATTTAACCTTCAGGTCACGAGTGAGACTGCTTGGAGGTCAGCTACCCTCAGTGTCCCCAGGCACAGGTAGGACTGTCTATGAGGCTAGGAAATGTGGGAGCTGTGTGGCACCGTGGCCCACCATTGTCCAGACCCTCGGGCACCACTACCGGTTTCTGCTTCCAGCCTGGCCCAGCACTGGGTTCCTGGGCAGGTACTGTCTGGGCTCACCTGCTGGGGCAGGTTGKGGCCCCTCTGGAGAGGGACTATGATGTCAGCATCAGGACATTCCCAGGGGAGGTGAAGGTGGAGCATGACCTGCCCTCTTCCCAGGGTCAGTAAATGCCTCCTGAGCGCTTCCATCCTGCTGCAGGGGGAAGGCACCAGCTGGAGATGAGCCCTTCTCCTGCCTGCCCCTGCCTGGCCACTGGGCTCAGACAAGGTGGGGCATCACCTGCCCAATTGCTCCCCCAACCTCCCCCAGCCCCAGGAGGAGGTGGCTCTGTCCTCACAGTAGCTCAGACACAACTGCCAAATGTCCGTTCGCTCAGGGCTGGTGTGATATGCCAGGGTGGGGCTCTGTGTYGGCCTCTGTCCCTCTAGCCACCCACCAGGGCCAACACTGCTTCCTTCCTTGGGGGCACCTTGGGTGCCCACTCTGCTGGGCCTGGGCTCTAAGGACAGAGGACTGTGACAACCTAGTACAGCCAGCATTAGGTGGAGGGAAGGCTGGGCTAGCCCCAGGGTGGGGACAGGACCTTCTAGAGGACCTAGGAGACCTCCTGGAAGAGGGGATGCCTGAATTAACTTGTCTTTCCACTGCGGATTGCTCGCTGCTGGAACGGATGTAGAAATGCAGTGGACTTCTGTGTTGACTGGGATCCCGCTACCTTTGCTGAACTTGTTTGTCCTAATATTTTTCTTGTGTGTGGAATTCTTGAAATTTTGTATATATAAAATAATCTCATCTGGGAATGGTTTCACTTCTTTCTTCCAATCTGGATACTTTATATTTCTTCTATTGCCTGATTACTTTGTCCATGACCTCCAGCAGGACACTGAGCAGACATGGAAGGATGGACATCCTTGCCCTGCTCCTGTCCTTGGGGAAGAGTGTTCAGTCTTTCACCACTAGAAATGATGTGAGCAGGAACTTTTCAAAGATACTCTTTATCATGTTGACAAGTTTTCCTTCTATYCCTGGTTTGTTGAGTGTTGTCCCTATTTTGAAGGATTGTTGGATTCTGTCTAAGGTTTTTTCTGTAGGTGGGTCTGTTTTTTGTCAATGTGGTATATCACATTGATTGGATTTGAATAGTAAACCAACCTTGCATTGCTGGAATAAGTCCCACTTGCCCGTGTTGTCTAATCCTTTCTATATGTTCCTGGATTCCGTCTGCTAGTGTTTTGTTGGGGATGTTTATGTTCATGCCTGTAAGAGATTGGTTGTAGTCTTCACTTGTGGTGTCTTTGTAAGGGGCGAAGAGGGCATGAGTTCCCTCTTCYTTTTTGGAAGAGTCTGTGAGGGATTGGTGGTCTTTGAGCCACCTCTTGAGGGCTGAGATAGTTCAGTTGCAAGTACAGGCAGTGGCAACAGCGGGGACAAGCCTAGAGGTGGTTGTGGGCGGGTTTAGGGGTACTGTGTGTCTGGCTGGCACAGGTGCACACAGGGCAGAGGGCAGGAGGAGAGTTTGTGAGAAAGGCCCAGAGGGGCCAAATCGGGAATGGCTAGGTGTGCATAAGGAAGCCCAAGACTTAGAGAAGTGACTGGAAGGGTCATGTTGGAGGACGTAAGGCAGGCACTGGAGAGACTTTAGAAGAGGAGGTGCTGGGGACTTCCGAGAGCGGTGGAGATGYTGATGGGCAGCCTAGAGAGTTTTGTAGGATTCAAGGGGAGATAAAGGCAAAAGCGCTGGGAACAGGCTTAGAGGTGGCCAGAGCCAGGATGGAAGCTGCAGACTCCAAGGTGCTGGGAAGAGTACCTTTGAGCTGGCCTGAGGTGGAGGCCTTGGAACCAGTGAGGGTTGCCCAACATGCAAAGCTGGGTAGGAATGGGGCCCAAGTTGTTAGCCACCAAAGGGCCAGGGTAGGGCCTTGTGCTGCATTCTGCACAGGTGGCCCATCCTAGCAGCAGCCTGTAAGTGCTAGGAGATGGAGGAGGCAGGCAGCCTAGTAGCCACTGAGGGCCTTCACAGCCTTTGGCCAGTCAAAGGAACTCTTCCGGGAGAGGTGACCCGCATGCCAAGGCCTAAGCAAGCGGGAGTTGCCAGTGAGCAGACCCCCGACTCCTGGGGATCCCTGGGAGACACTGGCAAAGCAAGTCTGCCCTGGGGGACATACTGCCTTTGGGGAAGTACGGCCACTGTCCCAAGGTGCTTGCCATCAAGGAACCAGGCGGGATGGAGACGTAGGCGGGGGCTAGGAGTTGCAGGTTTGGGGGCTTCTGATTCCGGGTTACCCTTATAATTGGCTTCCACTAGCTGCAGTGCCGCAGGTGGGGAAACTGAGGCCGGGAGTGGGCGGCCCGCCTAAGGTGACGTGAGGGGCGGGCGGGTCCCTCACCTGCCCGCGGACCCGCCCCCGTCTGCGAGGGGAGGAGCCGGCGGCCGCCTGGGCCTGGGGCGCGGCGGGCATGGCGGGCGCTGGGTCCCGGCCGCGGAGCTGGGGCCGGCGGGAGGCGGGCGCCCGGGACGAGGCGGCTGCCGGGGTCCCCGGCCCGGGGCCGTGTCGCTGCGCGCAGGGGAGATGGGGGCTGGCCGCCCCCCGGAAGCCGGCGGTGCCCGCCGCGTGGACGCCGTGAGTACTGAGCCCGGACCCGACGTCCACGGCCCCGGACTCTTGGCTTCGAGCCTCGGGACCCCAAGTCCCCAAGCCCGGGCCCCAGACCTCTGGAGCACGACCCGGGACTCCGGGTTCCGGGAGCCCCAGGCACTGCGCGGTCCCCTGGAACAAAGGCGGGCGTGGGCCGGCCGCTGGGTGGGCCGGGGGCTGCGGCTGGGCGTGGGGCCCTCCGTGCGCCGACACTTCCCCCTGGATGGGCGAGAGCACCCGGTGCCCATCTCCCTTCCCGCTGCTGGGCTCTGACTGCGCCGCGGGGCCGGGCAGAGCRGGGGTATGGCCGCGCCTTTGTTCCCAGCCTCAACCCAAGTTGGGGTCCCAGCTGCCCAGTCCTCACTCCCGCCTCCCTGCATGGAGGGGTTGGGAGCCATAGGGGACAGCTGGGTGGCCCCGACCTCCAGGCTCCCACTTTCTCCCTGGGGGGGTGGGCACTCTGTGCAGATGAAGCCSTGGGAGACAGTAGCAGAGGCTATGGGGGCATTCTGTGTCCTTGGGGTGGTGACTTCCTTTGCTTTTTTGATGGAGTGGACAGTGGTTTTCTTATGTGTGTGTTTCGGGTTGGAGCTGTAGTGGCAGGAGTCCCAGCTGATCTTGGCCTCTGGATCTGACCCTGGCTGCTCCACCTTGGGCTCTTAAGATACTGGCCACTATCCAGTTGCACCAGGGTCCCAAGCTAGACCTGCCCAGGGTAGGCACAGACTAAACAGAGCAGGATTGGGGGACTTCAGACATGACTGAGCACTTGGGGTGCCTCACAGGAGAGGAGCCCTCACTGTTGTTCCTGAWGGACAGCCAGTGGGATTTCTCCATGTGGGTAGTGGGGAGGTCACTGCAGGCAGAAATGTTCAGCAGCCCAGCTGGATCCAGAGAGTCTGGGGCTGGAGTAGTGGGCAGGGCCTCTGTGACAGTGTGCAGCATGGTCCCTGAGGCTCAGACAGGGAGGGTGAGTGTCCCCCCAGGCGAGGAGGTGGGTGCCAGTGAACTAACCACATGGTTCTCAGCCACTGTGGCAAGGGTGTGCTTTGGGACAATTTAGTCCACTTTTCCCTCATGGAAAAAGTCYAGCAGCTGAGGCCTGGGAATCCCCCAGAAAGCCAACCAGGACACAAGACCAGGCTGTTGGAACTGGGGGCTCTTGGCTGTCTGTTTCACTGATGCTTGGTCTCAGGGCTTCAAGAAAGGGATGGACAGAAGCTGCTGAGGATGGACATCCAGGGGCCATGCTCCTTACCTCTTCCCCACTGAGGGTCAGAGCTGGTGGACAGGGTATGCAGGGTGTACCCCAGCCCCCGTACCTCTTTAATTTCTACTTTCAGGTTGTGACCCCAGTGCCACCTCCTCCAGGAGGCCACTCCTGACTTCCTGTCTGGGCAGGCCCCTTTATGGCTCACCTGGCATTGGGACTTGGGGTCATTATGGCATAAAGCCTGCCTTACCTGGGCTGGGTTCCCTCAGGCCACTCGTCATCGTATGCTAGCCCTCACAGGGTGGTGCACTCACCAGATATGTGCCCAGTGAACCAGTGACAAAGGACACAGTTCTCAGCATCCTGGGATTGTGGCCAGGGACCAGGTGGAGCTGACCAGGTGGACCACCCAACCTTTTCCCCAGGGTCAGTACTGGAAGGCTGGGGCCTTCAGGAAAGGCGTTTCCTCACCCCCACTGCCTTGACCTTCCACGCTGCCTCCTGGAGTGTGGCAGTGTCCCCTGAGTGGCAGCTAAGACATTCCCTGTCCCTACCCCTGGCTGAGCTGTGTCTCTTCCTCTGTGATTCCAGCTTCATGGCGGCTGAGGAAATGCATTGGCCTGTCCCCATGAAGGCCATCGGTGCCCAGAACCTGCTGACTATGCCCGGGGGTGTGGCTAAGGCTGGCTACCTGCACAAGAAGGGCGGCACCCAGCTGCAGCTGCTCAAATGTGAGTCCCTGGGCAGCGGGCACCACAAGGGAGAACTTGCGGCAGAACTGGGCCCTGTTCCTGTTTCTCCACTGCTCTGCTGGGACTTCTGCTACCTTATGTCCTGGGTCCTCGGGGGTGTCTCTTCCTTCTGTAATGGTCAGCTCCCCTGGGGGACCTGAAGGCAGCCTCTCCAGTCCCAGAACTTGACAGGGTTCAGGGTGGTGCCTRCAGCTGGTCAAAGAGGACAGTGCACAGTGCTGACCAGCTGGCCACGGGAGCATCCAGAGCGGGGTAGCCTCAGAGTGGCCTGGAGGTCTGACCCCTGGGTGCTGCCCTTTTCCTCTCCGCAAATGTTCAGGGAATCTGTTGGCCCTCACGTGATGGGTCCATGTGCTAGGTCAGAAGCCAGCCGAGTACTGGGACTCTGAAGCTGCCTGACGCTCGGGTGTTGGCCCCTCGGGACAGTGGGCTGCGAGATCCACAGATGTCCAGACATGAAGGCAGAGAGAACCCGGGCCTTGCCTTTCTTTCTGATTCACCATGGGTACTCCGTGCCTGTGCCCCAGCAGTGCCCTCTGCCAAGGACTCCCTGCTCCGGGGCTGCCTAGCTGAGGTGTGCCCCACAGGACAGTCATTTCTGGGTACCAGTCTAACTGGTACCCTCTTTGCATAGGGATCTTCCAGAGAGAAACTGTAACTGACCTTCATCCAGGCCTGGGTTGGTGGAGCTTGGGGCATTGCCCAGCTGGAGTACAGTCCAGCCCAGGGGCTCTCTTACCCCTGCTCTCCTCATACGCCAGCTGGGCTGAGGAGCCTCCTGCAGCCCCACAGCACCCAGCAAGGTGGTTGCGGCCTCCTGGGCCTCTAGCCCTCTGCGGTTACTGCACATAGCCCCTGAATGGCCCAAGGTGCACAGGGAGGGGTGGCCAGGCTTGCCCAGGGGCTGGCCCACATGCCCCGGCCCACATGCCCCTCCATTTGCCCATACTTGGCCCCGTCATAGACCCCTGAGGAGGGGCCACAGCCCAGCCTGGCTTCCTGTCTTCCTCTCAGCAGTTCTCAGCAGCCTGAGGCTGGCCCAAGATGCACAGGCCTCCGGAGGTGCCTGGCATGGCCAGCCTGGCATGCAGGGTGCCTGGGGTGGAGGGTGCCTGGTGTGGAGGTGCCTGATGCGGAGGTGCCTGGGGTGGAGGGTGCCTGGCGTGGAGGTGCCTGGCATGGAGGATACCTGGCGCGGAGGTGCCTCGTGGAAGGTGCCTGGCGCGGGCCACTGACAGCCCTGGTGACTGTGCCCTGCCCGCAGGGCCCCTGCGGTTTGTGATCATCCACAGACGCTGCATCTACTACTTCAAGAGCAGCACGTCGGCCTCCCCACAGGGCGCCTTCTCCCTGAGTGGCTACAACCGGTGAGCGCCCACCCTGCCCAGAGTGTCCCCTCCCAGCCCACCTGGCCAACAAGGGCTTGGAGCCAGCTCTCACCCCTGCCCCTGGGGAGGACCTGGCTCTCCCCAGATGGCCTCCAGCAGCCCAGCCCTGCCCAGTGTGCCCAGGCCTCTGCTGGAGCCTAGGAGTGAGCTCCTTACGGAGGCTTCCTGGGGCTTTGGGGTCAGGTGTCAAGGGCCTGGACAGCCTGCTCTGCAGTCCAGTCAGTTGCTGCCCAGTGGCATCTGCTTCCCTCCCTACCCTGCCCCTTCCCCCTCCCAGCTCTTCCCAGGGTACCATCCCCTGTGTCCTAAACACAGGCCCTGTCCAGACTTCCTGGCTCCAGGGTCCTCCCAGGCTGGGGCCAGTTCCTTGTTTCACTTGTGCCATGGGCTAGCTCTATCCAGCAAGTGGCCATGAGTCTGCCCTTCAGGGCTTCCAGGCTGATGGGCAGGGGGACACTGGGCCAGAGCCCTCTGGTAAGTTGTGGCATGCTGGAGCTTGTGGGCCTGTTAGTCCCACCTGCATCCACCTCACAGCCTTGGGCCCACAGAGCAGTGCTTGAGTTCTGGGCCCAAGACTCTGCCACCTGACCCAGCGTCCAGCAGCACTGGTCTGCCTTTCACCACCCCCTTAAGGCCCAATCCCTCCATCCTGTGAGCAACCGTGGGTCACCAGGTCTTAGTGGCAGGACTTGCTTTGGTAGTTGCCTTGGTGGGGCAGCCTTGCCAATCAGCCAGTCTAGCACCAGGCCCCCATCCACCCAGGGCCCCGGGCAGCAGGCAGGCACTGGTGATCAGAGCTTCCCCAGGCAGTCACTTTCTTCCCTCAGACACGYGAGTGCCAGCCAGTTCACAGCTGTGTCCCAGTGTCAGGTACAGCTGTGCCCCAGGGAGTCAGTGCACCCATCGGGCCAGCTGGGTCTGAGAGGCTCTGTCCAGGTCCCCTGGTAGCTTCCCCCAGGTCGACTTTGGGATCACCGTGCACAGCCCACAGCCTGTTTGGGTTAGTGGGCCGCAGAGCAGATACGACATGAGTCACTTCCAGAAATGCATGGGGGGCTGCTGCTGGGCAGCGGGCAGCGGGGGCTGGCCAGAGCCCCATGAGGGTCTTCAGCAGTCAGGCCAAGGGCACGTGGGGCAGAGATGGGAGGAGACGTCCAATTAYAATGACACTGGTGGGCTGTGAGGTGGTGTGACCTCATCTCTGAGCCTGCGTTGCTGCTCTCCCAGGAAGCCTTGAAGACTCAGAGGCCCACTGTTGCCCACCTCTGCCATCTGCCCATAGCATCTAGGTCCTCTGCCTGGAGCATGGGCAGGCAGGGACTGTCCAGATCTGCTCCTGTCCTTGGGTTATAATGCCGGGTGCCAGACCCAGACCCACATAGGATGGGCTGCTCCGGCAACCCCTGTGAGTAGAGCAGGTGGTGACCCCTGTGTCCTCAGAGTGATGCGGGCGGCCGAGGAGACCACATCCAACAATGTCTTCCCCTTCAAGATCGTCCACATCAGCAAGAAGCACCGCACGTGGTTCTTCTCYGCCTCCTCTGAGGACGAGCGCAAGGTGATGGGGTCTCCCTGTTTAGGAGGCTCCCTGGTCCCAGGGCCCTGGCCTCCTGTCAGCTCTTGGCAGGAGGCTSACACCATCTTGTCTAGGCCCTGAGAGATGTACTGAGCAGGGGATGCCAGGTGGTGCTGCCCAGGGCCTGGCACCAGGGCCCACCCTAAGAGTGTGCCATTCGGGAAGAGCAGGGGGGCTGAGGGGCAGCTGCCGACCCAAGGAGGGGAGGCCACACCTGAGTCACACAGCCTGGGCTGGACACAGCTGGGGCTGTCTCCGCTGGCCTTGGTGGTCACTGCAGAGTAGCTGGGGCAAATGAGGGAAGAGGGTGAGTGGGGCCCTGTCCTGGCCCTGGCCCCTGACCCTGGCTAACCCACAGAGTTGGATGGCCTTGCTGCGCAGGGAGATTGGCCACTTCCATGAGAAGAAGGAGCTGCCCCTGGACACCAGGTGGGCTACAGGGCCTGGAGGAGGGTGGCAGTACCTGGGGCTCCTGGGTTTGACGTGCATGTCCGTCTCCAGGCTGGGTGGCGTGGCCACAGTGCGCTCCTTGAAGGGCCACGTGGATGTGGAAGTGTGCACCTTGTGTATAAGCGTGTGCGTGTGTGCCTGTCTTTCCCTGTCCTGCTGTCCTCTCCAGCTCCATGTCACCATGTCTGACTGTGTCATCTGTTGGCAGCTCCCCATTTGGGGGTCACAGCATTTCAAGAGTGTAGAACTTGGGGTCCCAGCCCCCTGACACCTACCTTGGCTCTCTCAGAGGGAGAGCAGATGCGTCGTCCAGGGAGGGGTTCAGTCCATCCTGGTCTCAGCACCCTCACCCGTGAGAGGGCCCAGCAGGTAGCAAGGGACTCTCCAGGGGGTCCTAGACCTGTCCTTGCTTTCGTTGTCAGGAGCAGGTGGATACATGGGCCACTGAACACTGGGCCTAGCCCTCAGCTCTCCAGCCAGTCAGGGTGGCAGGCACCACAGAGGCAGGGAGAGCGGCACTGGTCCCCAGCCCCTTCTGTCCTTGCAGTTGTGTGTCTATACGCTTGCCTGTGCATATGCTGCCTGGGGTTACCTGTGTGGCCTGAGCGTGTGGTCACAGGATTGTCCCTGCCTCTCCATGTCTGTCTGTGCACAGGYGGTCTGCATGCATGTGCAAGTCTGTGTCTGTCACAGTGTCCCTGAGTGCAGGTGTCCCTGTGAGTGAGTGCCAAGGACCCCAGGCTCGGTGCTGACCACCTGCCCCTGCCGCCTGCCCTGTGTTTCAGTGACTCCAGTTCAGACACAGATAGCTTCTATGGTGCGGTGGAGCGGCCCGTGGACATCAGCCTTTCTCCATACCCGACCGACAATGAAGGTGAGGGCTGGGCCAYACCCGCCCCTCCAGCTCTCCACACCTTCCTGCTGATGGCCACAGGGACCAGGGCCCCTGTTGGGAGGCCCCTCCTGCGGTGCCTGTGCCCTGTCCTACAGTGTAACAGTGGCCTGGGTTCAAATTCTGATGCCTTATCCTAACGCTCCCGCCTCCTTGGWGCTCAGCTCCTGTGACAGGGGCATTGTGCTGCGGCACAGTGGGCACTGCCACCCCGTCTTGTGTGGGCTGGGCCTGGGTCTCACCCTCCATCTGCCACAAACAGACTATGAGCATGAGGATGAGGAGGATTCATACCTGGAGCCCGACTCCCCAGAGCCTGTGAAGCCCG